AGGCCAATCTTTTGCCTGGTTAGTCATGTGATAAAACCATCAATGCATAGCCATATGATGGAGGCCACAGGTGCTTGTCAAGTTCTGCCCCTCATTTCCCATAATTCGCTTTAAGAGTCATTCAAAAAAGTTTGAATTGTTTGTGAATGTCACATCTGTAATGTTGTCAAAAATGGTAGGTAATGCAAAAATAGGAATAATCCAAAAAAAAAAACCAATGTAGACATAAACATGAATTTATCTTGCTTACAGATTTGATGAGACCGTAAGAAGAACACAATAAAGAGCTCTGTGCGATGCAGTATTTATTCCATTTGCAAAAATGCAATTTTAAAGACAACATCGGTACAGCTCTATTATCAACTAACATTCCTTGAAGTAAAAAACATGGCTTCTTTAGCAATATAGGTTAAGAAAATTACACTGCCATCTAAAAATAAGTCAAAAATACTAGATTGTAGTCTGAATCTTCTCAAATTAGTTTAAATAATTAGGCAGTTCAGCAAGACGTTTGTACTTGGTAAGTCTTCTTGAAATAAGGAAAAAAATATTTAATCTAACTCATTCTGTTCTTGCTTGGTGTGTCTCAAAACAACTCAAAACCACTTTTTGGCTGGATAAAAGCATGTAAGAATTGGTTAGAGTGTAGCATTGTTCATATCAGGGATTCTCCAAACATTTTGGTAACGCTTTCTTTTACGGTACCCTTATTACCATGTAATTACAAGGTAATAAAAATATATAATTACTACCGTATTACCATGTAATTACGTGGTAATTAGGGTACAATTTTACCATGTAATTAAATGTCTGCATGTAGCACTTACCTGGTAATGTATTACAATTCACTATGTAACACCTAAATAAGTAGTAGGTGATTTGGACAGTTTTAAAGTTATTGCAATTAACCACTAACCCCAAAATTTAGTTGCATTCTTTTGGTTATAAATATAGTGTTGAGTTACAGTTAAATAGTAATTTGATTGTAGTTACCCAATAAAGGCAGTTTTACTAACAGTCGTTTTTCTTTTGTACCCTAATTACCACATAATTACATGGTAATAAGGGTACCATCAAAGAAAGCTTTACCAACATTTTACGTCTGGTTGCCCCTTACAAAGGTGAAAATTTTCCAGGGACTTCTTCATTAATCTTACACTGATTTCAAAATAATTTACTGCCACGTTAACCCCTAAATGTCATGTGAATAATTACTATCTTTTGTTTGGTTCAGTGTTTGTTGCATTTTTCCTCTTATGCAATTTTGCCTTTTTTAAAATGAAAACCAAAATTAACAATTTTTTGTAATTTTTTAAGGACACCCAAGCTAAGGACCCCTGGGGGTCCTGGGACCCCAGTTTGAGAACCTCTGGTTTACATAAACAGAGAACACTGGAGCGTCTGTGTTGAAAACTGTATAATTAATGCTCTCATGGATTTCTTTAAAAAATAGGAAAATTTAAACTCTTACAATAAAACTTAATCTAATAATGATTCACCTCTTCAGACATTTGTTCTGGGATAGATGGGTTAATAAAACTACACACACATGTCATGCCAAATAACCAAGTGTATGTCCCATCTTGTTTAACGGTAAATTTACAGTAAAATGTTATTTGCTTGATTTGACTTGCTGTGCCTCTGAGCTTTCCAGGGCTGTTTCACTCGGTTAAGGTTATTAACCACTTATGTTCAAGAAACTTTCATAGTTTGCATTAAAATATTGTGCATTAAAAAGAGTTTTCTTAGAAAACTGGGTGTTGTGTCATGTACCCCTCAGAAAATCACACAAAAATGTGTTAAACACACAAACCACACCTCCTACTGAAATAAATCACTTTAAGTATTATATTTTTTACAGTAATATAAGTGCTGGGATGTGTGAGCCAAAATAGCACAGAAAAACRTTGGCAATTTAAAAAGGGGAGTTTGTGTGGGAAAAAAGTAAAATCCTTTTTTAATAATAAGATAACTAATAAAAATGGTTGTCTGGTGCTGTTTAATTTGTTTCTTATTTCATTACTTCAGGACGTGTTAGATTTTCCTGATTTCTCTGTTCTTCTGAGCTTTATTCCTCTGACAGACTGAGGTTTGCTGCTGTTGTTGTGGTCTTCATGAGCTGCTGCCTGTTGACAATACAGCGAAGAATTGGGTCAGTTTGTGCAGCAGTCTGCGCAGCAGCCGTTCTGTGTCTGATTTTTGTCTCCTGCTGAAAGAAAAGCTTGTGCCTGGTTTCGGCCTCCATTTTTGAGATGTACAACAGTGTTTTTTTGTTGTTGTTGTTGATTTTTTTTCCTGGCCTGTCAAATCTGAGAGATGCATCCACACTGATGGCTGTGGAGATGAGACCAAATCTGTGTGTGATCGAKTATGAAAATGCGTGAGTGACATGCATTATGATTTACCATAAATCTGTTTATTTTCTGCTTTAATGCCTGATGCACCAACATAAACCGTTGTATGGTTGATGAATGGAACATGTTTTCTGCATTAAGGTTGGTCCAAAAAAGGAGTTTAAGTGATAGTTCAGATTTTTTTAATGTGGTGATTTATGGAAATGTTATGAACAGTTAATAATGACAGTATTAGACTAGATCAGGCACACAGTATCACCAATCTACAGCAACAATCAATTAGTTAAACTTGACTGAAATAGAAACAAAATATGCTCTGAGGGTCAAGAGGAAGCCCCTGGACAGTCCTCATCTAGTCTTTGATATGTCAAAAATGTTTCAGATAAAAACAAAGAAAAACTTAATTTTATTCATGAATCTTGAGGCAACTAAAATCAAAAATCTAAATTGAGTGTTTAGGATGTTGAAATGTAAAGTTTAGTTTAGTGTTTGTGCTGGCAGGACTGGTTTAAGGCTAAATTAAGGACAGATGTTTTTAAAAAGGACCATGCTTTGGCATCTTTAAACCATGAGTTAATGTCTAATGCAATGTTTTATCAGGACAGTTCAGACACTTTTTGACACTAGAATGCTAATTGTGATACAAACATCAAAGTAAGAAAAGGCCTTGAAAATAACTTCCCACATATTAGTTTGAAAGAATCATGACAATAGGCAGTGAAACAGCCTTGGTACAGTTCATTCGTTGCCTCCTAAGTTTGGAGAAATAGAGATTATTTCTGACTGGACTGATGAGCTAACAGCTAGTCTGAACAAGGTTGCTGTCATCCTAAAACAATTCTAATTTTAATATTGTGAATTATTTGACTAATTTCAGACACAAATGTTATTGATGCAATCATCTATCTACAACTGTACGAGAATCAACAAATCTCTATTTAAGCCCGTGCCTCGCTCCAGCAGCGTAAACACATAATGTTTCAGGAAAGTAGAACTGTTTTAAGGGTACTTCCTTGGTTACTATGACATCGTAAATGGGCGGGGGGG